TCAAAACCAACTTACGTTACGATGTCCGTAAGGCTTTGGTAGGTAAAAGGGTAACCACGCTCAAGGATCTGTTAGCTATTGGTAGAGATTTAGACGCCACTGATTTCTCAGCCTTTTCGAAGATGTTTGACTCGAACTTGAACTCGAACAAACGGGATAACTGTGCGATCAACTCCGGCAGCGGAACGTATTCGGCTACTCGGACATTTTCGAGTCGGAATCGCCAAACTGGTTCCACTGGTAACGAACATTCCCTTAAAGGATATAAATCGGTGCTCAATAATTCCAAGCCTAACGCCAAGCAAGCTTCGAGTCCCAAGGCGAATCCTTCAGATAAGGAGGGAAAGCTTGATGGCCGTTCTAAAGAACAGAAGCCAGGGACCAGTAAACCGAGTTCACTACTCAAGTTGGTTTCAAATTATCGTCCTCCAGCGGAAGGCGAATGTTTCAACTGCGGGGACCATCACGAGCTGTCAGATTGCCCGATTCCCCGTAGGGTTTTTTGCAATCGGTGTGCCTTGAAAGGGTTCACAACCAACAACTGTCCATTCTGTTTAAAAAACTCGCTGGGGAAGCCCTAAAGCCGCAGGAACTTCCAACCGCGCAAGAGGAGAGCTCTTTGGCTTCTTGGTTTCCTGATCTGTATCAGTTTTATGAACTTAGATCAGAAGATGAAGATGAAAAAGAAATTCTCCCTCAAATTCACAAAATCACCTTAAATAGCCTGGAAGATGATCGACCTCACGTTACTCTCAAAATGTTTGACATTCCGGTAGATGCGCTTCTCGATTGCGGCAGCAATTTATCTTTCATTAACTCCTCTACATTTCATAAGCTAAGGAAGGTCCGTCTTAGAAAACCTGCTCAGGCGGTGGAGCTGCGAACGGCCGACGGTTCTCGTCTGGAAGTCCTTGGAGAAATTCATATCCCTTATACTTTCAATGGTAAAACTCGAGTCTTGCCAACCTTGGTCGCACCCAATTTAACCAAAGATTGTATTTGCGGCATGGATTTCTGGAGGATATTTGGAATCTATCCGGCCATCGCTTCGGTTTCAGGGATATCTACAACAGCAAAGCCCAATCGGGAGAGTCTTCAACCTAGATTGACCGAATCCCAATGTGAGAGGTTAGAAGAAGTTAAACGGAGTTTTAAGGTAGCCGGCTCTGACACGCTTGAGACCACTTCGCTTTATGAGCATAATATCGTACTTAAAGAGGAGTTTAAGTCAAGCAAACCGATTAGACTATATCCATATCCTATTGCTCCGAAGATACAAGCCGGATTGTTTGCCGAGATCAACCGACTATTAGACCGTGGGGTTATCGAGGAGTCGAATTCGGATTGGTCCTTAAACATAGTTCCAATCCGAAAATCTACCGGAGCCATCCGTCTTTGTCTCGATGCGCGCAAACTCAATGAGAGAACCGTACGTGACGCCTATCCCCTTCCCCACCCTGGACGCATTTTAGGTCACTTACCTCGAGCAAACTTTTTGTCGACCATCGACCTTACAGAGGCCTTCTTGCAGATCCCTCTGGCTCGGGGATCCCGAAAATATTGCTCGTTCAGTGTCCAAGGGAAGGGGATGTTCCAGTTCACCCGCCTTCCATTCGGTTTAGTCAACAGTCCGGCGACACTGTCCCGATTGATGAACCGAGTGTTAGGACATGGGGCACTGGAACCGTTTGTCTTCGTATACTTAGACGACATCGTCATAGTATCGGAGACATTCGAGGATCACGTACGGCTTTTGGAAGAGGTTGCGAAACGCCTCCGAACGGCGAATCTCTCGATTAAGCTGGAGAAATCCCATTTTTGCCGCGATGAAATCCCATTTTTGGGCTATATTTTATCCTCTCAGGGTTTGAGAATTAACCCTGAGAAGATAGCGCCCATTGTAGAATACGAACGTCCCACGACGCTTACCAAACTCCGTCGCTTTATGGGGATGTCAAACTATTACCGGCGGTTCATCGCCGAATATAGCAAGACGACTGCGGCCCTCTCAGAGCTTCTCAAAAGTCAGACGAAGACTGTGAGATGGAATCCTGAGGCGGAGGATGCTTTCCTGGCAATTAAGGAGAAGTTAATAACGGCACCCATTTTATCCAGCCCTGACTTTGATCGGGAATTTATTATCCACACTGATGCGAGCGATCACGCCGTCGCCGGAGTGCTTACGCAGAAAATAGATGACCAGGAGCGGGTAATAGAGTATTTTTCAAAAAAACTCACCACCCAGGAACGCGTATATCATGCTACGGAAAAAGAGGGCCTTGCCGCGCTCCTTTCCATAGAGCATTTTCGCGGCTATGTTGAGGGAAGCCATTTTGTACTGGTCACGGATTCATCCGCTCTAACGTACATCATGCGAACGAAGTGGAAAACCTCCTCGCGACTTAGCCGCTGGAGTCTATCGCTTCAAATGTACGATATGACGATTGTGCATCGTCGGGGCAAGGACAACGTTGTCCCCGACGCGCTTTCACGAAGTGTGATGTCAATATCTGCCCAGTCTCCATCTTCCTGGTACAACAACCTGAAGCTTTCCGTCGAAAACCGACCCGACGACTATCCCGACTTTCGCGTCAGTCAGGGACAGCTGATGAAATTTGTGTTCAACAATGATCTGACAGACCATCGTTACGACTGGAAAATAATTCCCAGTCCCGATTCACGGCATGAAATCCTCAAATACTGCCACGATGATTTCATGCACATAGGAGCAGAGAAAACCGTGGAAAAGGTACGTCGGCACTACTATTGGCCGAAAATGGTTAGTCAAATCCGGACATACGTGCGAAAATGCTCGGTTTGCGCGGAGATAAAACCTCCGAACTCGTCGACGACACCTCTGATGGGCGATATGCGTATTCCGTCGCGTCCATGGCAGATTATCGCTCTAGATTACATCGGTCCCTTACCGAGATCGAAATCGGGGAACCAATACGTGCTCGTAACGATGGACTTGTTTAGTAAATGGGTGCAGTTGCATCCCTTTTCTAAAATCAGTGCTAAGACGCTGTGTGTTGAATTGACACGTCATTGGTTCCACAGAAATTCGGTCCCCGCGATTATGCTGTCCGATAACGCGACAACTTTTACGTCAAAGGAATTCAAAGCCTTACTAGATCGATTCAAGATCAAGCATTGGCTGACGTCAAGATACCATTCGCAGGCCAACCCTGTTGAAAGGCTGAATCGGGCGATCAATACGTCGCTTCGGTCGTACGCGAGAGACAATCAGCGTGAATGGGACACGCGTTTGTCGGAGGTCGAAGTCGTCATCAATTCGACGACCCATTCCTCAACGGGCTTTACCCCGTTTCGAATCGCGAGAGGAGAGGAGGTAGTTCTCTATGGAACTGAACACGATAATTTCGAGAACGAAGATGAATCGTCGATCGAGGCCCGTCTAGCTCGCATTCGCGAGGAATCCCCAAAACTATTCGCGGTAGTTCGCAAAAATCTAGAAAAAGCCCATACGGAAGCGGCGCGAACGTATAATTTGAGAACACGGCAACATGCAAAACCCTTTTCGGTGGGAGACACAGTCTACAAACGAAATACTAGACTCTCAAACGCAAAGGAGTTTTATAACGCGAAATTGGGAGCACAGTTTGTACCTTGCACAGTGGTGGCGAAGCATGGTTCGTCTTCCTACGAACTGGCCGATCCAAACGGTCGCATCATAGGTGTTTGGCCAGCAAACCTGCTTAAGCGAGCTCCGTAATCATTTTATGATGGACGAAATGGGCGATCCAATAACGTCCTCAGTCTCTGGATTCCCAAGCTGAAAGAAAAGATCCCATTGTTAGTTCAACCTTGAACTGTCCTCTGGACTTGTTTGCACACCAGGGGTGCTCACCTATAGCCCTAAATTCAGGAATTTCACCTCTCTAACACTTTCCGCGGGGTGCTAGGGGAACTCTCCTGTTTTCTTAGGTTTTCGAAGAGTAGCCTGTGGTGAACAATCTCGTCCACGTTTGGGTGGAGACGTCCTCCAAACGGTATCTCCAAGCCGCGCGCGCATCTCGATCTTCAGTGATCAAGAGAAACCGGTGTACTGAAATATGGTTCGCCCGACCGATGGCGATCCCTATGTCCCAGAGAATAGTTTAATCGTGAATCTGCACGAAAACCCGATACCCTGTGTAATAATTTGTGCACAGTACTGATCGATGATAGTCGCACACCATACTGAACCAAACAAGCAACAAGCGATAGATCTGTATCACTTCTGTGTCTTTAGACTTGCTTCGTGCTTTGTTTGGGCTTCATGATCCGAGGAATGTATATGGATAGATCACCAACAACGGTGATGTTTCAAATTAGTCCCGATCTTTCATTCGCACGTTCAACATGTGTTGACGTCGCGCGTTTAAGTGTTTTTTTTTTGTCTAGCTCGACAAAAGAAATGTGTGAAAACGAAAGTGATTTATTGTTTTATTCCGGGCTCCGCTGATCGATCCCAGAACTGTTAGATGTTGAGTGTTGTAGTTTCGGTGGTAGAAGGTTTTGACAACTATAGTAAATCGATACTCGTGATACGGAAGATCGACCAATGTAGGCATTGCCTCGAGTAGTTCGTAAGTGTTATATATGCATGTTTATAAATAGTGGCCACTGATTTTTTGTTGATGATGTTTTGATTTGTTTAGTTTTTTTGTGAGTGATATCTCTAGAGTTACTGTTAAGATTTGTAGTGGAACCTAAAAAGAACCATTTGTTAAACGCTTCTTTTTCCTTGACCAGAGGGGGATATGTTACCGGCGGGTAACATTGTTTTCATCTGTTTAGTACACGGGATATAGCTGTATTTATATTAGGGAGATTATTTAATCGGCAACGGTCAATTTGAATTCGTTGTTGGGTGGCATAAGTGGTCAGACGATCGAACAGCTAAACGATGAGTGCAGGTGGGTGGTGGCGATATCCACTGAACTCGAAGAGAGTGTGGGCGGAAACTCTCCCTGGAGAGAGTGACGAAGCCCACGATGGAGGAGAGTGAGCAGATAACGGAGGCTGGGGAAGTTTAGAGTCAACCACCGAAGTCGCAAGACGTGCGCTCGGGTGTCGTCCAGTGAGCAGACGGCTAGTGCTTGAGAGAAATCTCGAACTGTAACCACGTGGATAGTGATAAGCCGTGCTTTTGCGGGATCACCACACCTATCGTACAATCGAACCCCGGTCATAATCCGTCCACCGACGGGCTGCCACTCAGCCGCCACCCGGCCACCGCCCGGACGTCTTCCAGCTGCTTTAAGTAACCGGCCACCGGGCCGTAACTCGGTCTTCATCCGGCCGCCAACCCGGCCGCAACTCGGTCTTCATCCGGCCGCACTCAGCCGCCTTCTCCGACCGAACCCGCCTTCATCCGGCAGTATACCCGGCCGTCGTACGAGCGTCATCCGGCTGCTACCGGTGACCATCCAGTCACTACCCGGACACTACCCGGTCGTAACTCGGTCTTCATCCGGCCGCACTCAGTCGTCCCCTCGACCGAACTCGCCTCCCTCCGGCCGCCAACCCGGCCGCAACTCGGTCTTCATCCGGCCGCACTCAGCCGCCTCCTCCGACCGAACTCGCAGGCATCCGGCAGTATACCCGGCCGTCGTACGAGCGTCATCCGGCTGCTACCGGCCTCCATCCAGTCACTACCCGGACACTACCCGGACACCACCCGGCCACCACCTGGTCGCCTACCGGACGCCATCCTACTGCCACCCGACCATCACCCGATCGCTACCCGTCACCACCAAAGCCCAGTCAGGTTTGTTTGCCATCAATAAATAAATAATTTAACCGTTGACCGTAGCGTTTGATAGGATCCTTTGTCCGAAAACTCTCCCACGCCCGTACGCCTTGAGACCCGGAACTATCAGAGGTCGTGAGTGCCCACCCCGGGAGCTGTCGTAGGCTTAGACCGGCAGCTTGGGGCTTTGGCAGGTCCTTCTCCAGGTCCTAGCGGTTCCGGGGCCTAAAAGTGTCTTATAACATATCGCGCATAAGTTTTTGTATCCTTTCAAGGAAGATCATTGGTAATAATGTAGATGAATAGGATCAAAGCAATTGATTTTTGGGTATTGATAAATTCCGGATAAACCATCAAGTGGAATACCACAAACGTAACAGGTCTTATGAAAAAAAAACGTTCTGTTTTCGATACTTTTTCCCTATCCAAATATAACTCAGTTTTCTCAACAATTGTTCGTGCTTCAAAAAATCTAACTAGACGTATGGATTCAGGAAGGTCTATTCAACAAAATCCAAGCGTAATATTCAAAGAAAGAAGCCAAAATCCATCTTGGCTGAACATAAAAACCAAATTTTAACAAAAATACGTAGTTTTATCAATTTAAACCTGGCTTTGGGTGTGCTTAAAAAAATAAACATCACATATGAATTTAGCAAGGTCAATTCTATAAAATCTAAGCATAACTTTCAAAGGACAGTATCAAAATCCAGCTTAGCAGAAAAGGAAAACAAAAAAAAACCTTTTTGAATTTCAAACCCGGTTCAACCTTCACGTATGGATTCAGCAAGGTCCATTCTAAAAAATACAAGCCTATTTTTAAAAGATATGAGCCAAAATGCAACTTGGCAGAACCGAAAAACCAAATTTCTATGAAAATACGGATGGATTCAGCAATTCGGTAAAATCCATTAATATTTTTCAAAGGAAGGAGCCGAAATTCAACTTGGCTGAACAAGAAATCCAAATTTCTATAAAATTCTAAATTCTAATAAATTGTGCATGCTTCAAAAAATTTACCATCACGTATGGAGTCAGCAAAGTACATTCTATAGAATTTAAATCTATTTTCAAAGATGGGAGCCGAAATTCAGCTTGGCAGAACAGAAAATCAAAGTTTTTATGAAAAAACGTACTTTTGTGAATATAAACTCGGTATTCTCAAAAATTGAAGAAATTCAACGTATGGATTCAGCAACTTCTATTAAAATACAAGCATATTTTTCAAATATAGAAGCCAAAATTCAGTTCGGAAAACAGAAAAATTAATTTTCTATAAAATAACCTTCTTTTGTGAATATTAACCAGGTTCGTCCTTCCGGTATTCAGCAAGTTCCATTCTTTAAAATCCAAGCACAAATCTCAAAAGATTGAACCGAAATCCAACCAAGCTTTAACAAAATCTACCATCACGTATGAAATCCCAAAGATCTATTCCATAACATCCAAGCCTGTTTTTCAAAGGACGGAGCCAAAATCCAACTTGGCTGATCAAGCAACCTAAATTTCTATAAAAATACATACTTTTGTGGATGTAAACCCAGTTTTCTCAACAATTGTGCTTGCTTAAAAAAAATCTACACATATAAACGTTCTGAATTTTAATTGTGATGTAAACATTCATTCACGTAAACTTGTTTTTCATTTCCCGCAACCGAGCAACTTGTAAACAATGTTGTTTACAAACATGGGCTTTTGTATACTATATTTGCTACATTGCATGAAATGTCTCAGAACTTTACATGATATATAATGTAAGCTTATATGATATGTGACGCTCCATTTATGTGCATCATAATGAATAGAAATTTACACTAATTTTTCGAACTGTGTACCATCAGGCATGAACACACGAAGGTCCATTCTTTAAAATCTCAGCCTAATTTTCAAAGGATTTGAATCACACACAAACGAGGAATTTATCTAAGGGAGCGGAATCTACGTTAAAAGTTAGTTAAATCACTTCAGGAAAGCTCAGACTAACATTCAATATAATTCAATCACTCAACAGAAAATGTTGGACTCCATTGGATACCATTTGGAAAATTTAAGCTCAAAAAATTATCGGTTCACTTCGGAAAACTTTCTACACTTTCACTAAGCAAGATTGCGTTCTTGCCAAACGCCAAAGCAGTTAACAAAAATCTGGAGCTCACTTAGGAAAATATCAAACCCGTTCTGACTAGTTTGGTTTCAGTTCGGAAAAAGTTGAATCAATGCAGGAAACCTTGGCTTCATTTAGGAAAAGGATTAATCAGCTAATTTTGCCTCACTTCAGAAAATGCGAAACCAATTCTTTCAAGATTGGATTTGGAATATGTTGAATCACTTCAGGAAAGTTTTGACAACTTTAAAAAGGATTGAATAACATAACAGAAAAGTTAAGACCCAGTTAGAAAAATATTGATGACTTATTCGAAAGTTTGAACTCACTTCAAAAAAGTTCAGACTCAGTTTTGAATCTGCTTTGAAAAGTGTCACCTCAGTTAGGAATTTCCTGAATCGTTTCTGATTTGGTCAGACTTCTAAAAAATTTAAACCAATTTTGAAAAGATTGGATTTAGCTCGGAAATTGTTGAATCACTGTAGAAAAGAAGTGAATCATTAAGTATCATTGCAGAAGGTTTGTAAGTTAAGAAATGTAGATCGAATGCAAAAATCTGGCGACTACGGTGGGCTGGGCACATCGTAATAATGTTGGATAACGAACCACTGAAAATGTTTCTTTGTAGTGATCCGACTGGAACAAGACGAAGATGTGCGCAACGAACAAGAGGGATCGATCAGATTGAATGTGGCTTACCTAGTGAGTTGCCAAACAAGATTAGGAATGATGTTCGATAAGATCCGTTTTCAACAACTGAAACCGGCTGATCCGATTTCAAGGACCTGTCATGCCGTACTGGTAAAGTACCAATTTATGTGAAAATTCATTAAAAGAACAAGGTGATACAACAACAACAACATAATAAAATCTAGCAAAGCGAGTATCCATACCCAAATGAATTTGCGAAAAATAAATATAATAATAAATAATAAATAAATAAAAAATTATACACTAAAAGTTTATTTTATTTCCCCCTTGGTGCTATTCCAAAATTTTGAAGGGGGGGGGGGTGACAAAAGAAAAACTTGATATTTGTTCCGGCCTAATAATGACGTGTGCGGATTGCTTCATGTGGCTTGACAGTTCTTTCAGAACTTTATTTGAACTTTATGGAACTTGAAAGTTCTTTCGGAACTTTATTTGAACTTTAGGGAACTTGAAGGTTTGGTCGGAACTGTATTTGAACTTTATTGGAAGTGATTTTAATCGTTTAATGCAGAACTTGTGGTTACTTGTGTAGTCATGCGACATGTCATTAGAGACCATGTCAAATGACAAAAGTGACAAAGTTGTTACTTTAGTAAATTAGCATAGTCTCTAATGAATTATCCGTGAATCTCTTTTTGATATCCCGAATGACTAGTTTTTGTTGAAATTAAAGGTTGGCCAAAACTTACTGGGCTTCCGAAACCTGTTCCAGGGACATTGGGTGGCCATTATAAATCCTTTTAATTTAGATGATCTCTAATGCCATGTCCATCATATTATGGTTTTGTTGAAACCATAGATTGGCCACATGCTCCAGGGCTTCCGGAACCTGTTCCAGGAACATTGGGTGGTCATTGTCACTCGTGTCAATTGGCATGGTCTATTATAAAAACAAGTCCATAAAAATCTGAAAGTTTTGATTCGCCACATGACTAGATTTTGATTAAATTAAAGGATGACCGCTTCCTCCGGGGCTATTCTATTCATTCTATTAAAGGGTGTATTCGATAAAAATGACTCACCGAAAATTTTCTGTAACTTTGAACCGTATGAGTAAAAAAAACCTGAAAATTTTAGAAAATCCTATTCATAGTGTATTGTTTACATCTGTTAACTTCCTGGGCAAGAATATTTCGTTGCCAAGTCTATGTTCGATGTTCCGGAGGATGTTCGAAAGAAGACATTATCGAAATTTGCAAAGAAGTTCCTGATCTGGCAGCGGATTTGCAGATGCGGTGAAATAAGCGCTCCCTTCATCACTTCCAGAACAATCTTCTTTTTCTTTTGACATAGTCATGCTAATTACATCACAGTGTAGATTATACTGTCGCATCATTCGATTGATGGGGCCATTTTTGCGTAATTTGTTTTGTGTGATTTTTCTGAGAATAATTTTCGTGTTCTTAGACGCCGACAGGGTGTGCAGAAGTTTAATTGTTAAAGTATTTCTGATGATTCTTTGCGCTGTGAAATAATGGCCTTCAACATATAAAGACTGGAACGCGCAAAAATTGGTCGACCAAATAATCGTTTCTTTCAGTCAAAATTCAGATCACACAAAATCTTCTTATTTTTCTATTGGTAGTTCAATTCATATATTTTGTTTATTCTTCTGGTTTTCCAAATACGAACTGCCGTGCCTTCCGCTTAACCCCTTCCATTAAATTTTGCACAGTTGTCTCATCGACCTTATTCGGCGCCAAACGCCAGTTAGATTAAAACAGCTGCTCGTTTTCCATGGATTTATTAGTTTTTTGAGATTCCGTTTGACCAAGGCCCAAACCCGTTCGCCCGCTGTTGGGAGGGTTGTGGTCTTTGGGTACCACAACCACGTTGTTCACATCGTACCACTTGATTGCCTTTTTCCCATAGTGGCAGCTCGCCAAGTTCGGCCAGAACAGCACAGGTCTATTATGTTGCTTTAGGAATGGTAGCAGACGCTTTTCCAGGCACTCCTGGACGTAGATCTCTTGATTGATGGTTCCCGTAGTAATGAAAATGCCGCTTTTTAGATCACACGTGCATATGGCCTGCCAAAAGAGATATTTTTTTCGGGAACTTCCATAGTTTGATGGTTTGGAAAATTTCAGCCACCGGCACAATTCAGCAGGTGTGCGGATTATTCCGGTCACAGAGCAAGATGCGATTGTTTGTTAAGTACCCATCCCGGCAACCCGGTATTTCTGACACCTTGAATATTTTG